CTTTGAGCAAACACCACCTTGTCCCCCAGCCCAGAGCACCCAGTGCCACGTCCAGTCCTTCCTTGGCCACCTCAGGGACTGTGGCTCCAACCCCTCCTTGGGCAGCCCCTTGCAATGCCTGAGCACCCTTTCCAGGAAGAAATTCCTGCTGCTGTCCCAGGAGGAAGAACCCAGGAGAGGAGTCAGAGGACCCCCTTGGCTGTGTTTTCCAGGTGAACCAAATCCCTGGAGCTGCAGGGAGGGCCCAGGTGTGAGTTCCTGCAGCAGAACTGGTCCCAGATGCTCTCCAGCCCCATGATCCACAGGGAGGGCACGGCAGAGCCCGGCCAGGTGCCAGCTGTGGGTATTGGCTCCATCTCTCTCCCCGGCTCCCTCCAACATGGGCAGTGCTCCCTGTTCCCACTGCAACACCTGGTGATGGGAAGCCACAGGAAGATCCAGCTTCCAAAATGCTCCAGGCTCTCAATTATCTGCAGCTCCTCGAGGAGGTTGCTCATCTCCTCGTATCTACAATCTGCCGTGCTGACAGATGGGGATTTGACAGGAGAAGCTCAGCTGGCACAGGGAAGATGTCTCTTCCCTTCCTGTAACTTCCCAGGTGCTTCTTAATAACCCCAGTGCTCAGAAAGGTCTGTGGTTCCTGCAGTCCCACAGGAATAATCTCCCTGCTGGATGTGTTGGTACCTCGGGGGAAGGAGGCAGCAGCTGTGTGTCAGCACAGCCATTGCACAATTCCCATCCCTCCAGGGTGGGAAGAGCTGATGGAGGCTGGATCCAGCTGAAAGAGGAATTTTGGTTCAGCAGAATATCCTTGTCAGCACTGGGCTGTGGCCAGGTTGCCCTGGGGACACCCCTGCCTTTGGGGTTTGGGCTGTGCAAGGAATCAGGATGTTCTTCCACCTGATTTCCCTGAGAAATGGTGTTTGTGGGATCCTCTCCTCCAGCCCCAGCCCCTCTCCCATCACATCCCAACCACACCCGAGGGGAGGGAGGAGGGCTCAGAGGCAGGAAGCTCCACGTGCTCCTCCAGCAGGGATTTGGTGCCAGCACCTTCCCAGACCCTCACTGGGCACCCCTGGATGGGTGGGATGCTGCAGCCTGGGGGTGACACAGCCCCTGCTGGGGCTGGGGCTGGAGCTGTGCTGTGCCCAGGGCATCTGCTTTAACAGGCAACATCCAAATCCCATCCCTAAAACCAGGCCAGGAACCCAGCCCTGCCCTCGGGAGGGGCTGAAGGGGAAATGCTCCTTCCAAGGGCTGGAAGGTGTTTTGGATTCCCAAGCCTTGGGAACTGGGTCAGGCAAGTTCTGCTGGAGCCAGGGGTGAAATCCAAAGGGAAGAGCAGCAGGAAGCCCACCTGCACATCCAGCTGGAGCTTCTGTCCCCCTCACACCCCTGGCAGGAGCACACAGACCTGGGCTGGGGCTGCCCCAGCTCTGGGAGCTCTGGGGAGAGGGGGAAATCTCATGGAGAGCAGGAAAACTCATCCCCAGAACCAACCTGTGCTGAAAATAATCCATGACTAATTTTATGCCTCTCTGATTGCCTTTTAACTTCGAGTTATAAAAACAGGGAGAAAGGAGATGATGTCCTGGTGGGAGGATAAATAATGAGCGTTGCCATGGAAACGAGGGGATGCTGCAGCACAGCTCGGCCTGCCTGGACCACCTGCCAGAGGTGCCATGGGAGGGTGTTCCTCTGATGGTGTGATCACCTCTGCCATCCTCAGCTGCAGGAATGTGCTCAGCTGGTGCTTGGGCTGCAGCTCCAGGCTCCTGCAGACCCCGTGCTGGGGGGTCCTCCCAACCTGCTCCATGGGCAGGGGGCCCCCTGAGCCACAGTTTGCCTGACTTGCATTCCCACCATGGTTAAAGGGGTAGGAGGAAGAAGATCCTCGAAGGTCACAGAGTCACAGAGGTTGAAAAAAGACCTCCAGGATCATCGAGTGCAACCTTTGAGCAAACACCACCTTGTCCCCCAGCCCAGAGCACCCAGTGCCACATCCAGTCCTTCCTTGGCCACCTCAGGGACTGTGGCTCCAACCCCTCCTTGGGCAGCCCCTTCCAATGCCTGAGCACCCTTTCCAGGAAGAAATTCCTGCTGCTGTCCCACCTGAGCCTCTCCTGGCGCAGCTGAGGTTTCCTCCTGCCCTGTGGATGCTCCAAGCTGGGGTTCATTAAACCCAGGCCTGGCCTGGGATGGCCCCTGCCCACAGAGCTTCTCCCTGCCCAGTCCCAGCCCCTCTCAAACCCAGGAGAGGAGTCAGAGGACCCTCTTGGCTGTGTTTTCCAGGTGAACCCAATCCCTGGAGCTGCAGGGAGGGCCCAGGTGTGAGTTCCTGCAGCAGAACTGATCCCAGATGCTCTCCAGGCCCATGATCCACAGGGAGGGCACAGCAGAGCCTTGGGGCTGGCTGGTGCTCTGTGTAACTCCAAGGCCAGTGGAAAGCTGGAAAGCCAGGGAAGAGAGGCTGTGTCATCAAAGCCAGGAGTCAATATTTAGCCTGGAAGCTGCTCCCCTGCCCTCCCCAGCCCTTCCAGCAGCAGCTCTTACAGCCAGATCATGTTTCCCCCCTCCCAGAGACACTTTTATCAGTCTCAGGGCAAGGGAAAAACTGGGATTTGGGGGGGGTTCAAGGGATTAGGAAAGAATTTGCCTCTGGGAATCTCTTTCCTCCATCTGCCTGGGTTAAACTGCGGGATGGAGGTGGAGGCTTTGCAGCTCAGCAGGGAACTGCTCTGAGCGAAACATGTGGAGGCAAAAACACTCCTGGTCCCTCCCTGCTGCGGGAAAAGGGTGTTGAAAGGTCCTGGAAAGGGTGAGGAGAGCTCTGCATCCTGTGGCTCCACATGGGATGAAGTGGGAAGATGTTTTGCCTGAGCTCCCTGTGTACAGACAGAGCTTGGTCAGACCCTGGGATCTTCCCTGGCAGGAGCAGCTCACCCATGGGAGGCAGGAACAAACCTGGAAACACCATGGGAAGCGTGATTAGCTGAGAGAAAAAGGGAATTTTACTTGGCCTGTTGATAATTTTCTGCTTTCATGATGTCCCTGTAAAGCAAACGGGCTTTAACAACCCTGCTGGAGTGGGAACACAGCTGGGAAAGCTGCCCTGGCCACTGGGGGGGCTGGGTGGTTTTCACTGGGGTTGTCTGAGCACTGCTGGTCCCAGGGGATTCCTCCATCCCTCCTCCATCCATCCTGCCAGCTTCCAGGGCACATTGTTTGTCCCACAGCAGTGCCCAGTCCTGTCCCTGCCAGGCAGGGGCAGTCCCTGCCCTGGAAAGCAGAGGCTGCTCCTGAGCTCCTGGAGCTGGTCCTGGTCCTACAGCAGGGCTGTGACCCGACCTCGGCAGAGCCCTGGGAGAGGCAGTGCCTGCTTTATTCCTCCTTTGGATCTTGCAGTGAAGGGCCTTTTCCATCTCTGCTAGAGGAAAAGGTCAATATTGCAGGTGTTAGACACCACAGCCTCAGGGTTGGGTTTTTTTTTAAACACGAAGCCTTTTTTAAACATCAGCTCCATGTCCTCCAACAGGATCCATCCAGAATGTCCCACCCTGGGAGCAGTCACTGCTGCACCACATCCCTGGCACAGGGGCTCCTGCCCTGGCTGTTCCTGCCTGTGCCGAGCTGGGGGCTCTGGGAACCTCCCACAGGCAGGGCCAGAGCCCAGGGGGCCTTTGCAGCTCCCCAGAGGAGATGTTTCATCTCCTGGGAATGGGTGGGATGGGACATCCCCCTCCCCACCTGCCTGTGGCTGTGGCTCCTGGGGATGTGGCTGCAGGAACAGGGATATCAGAGGGGCTGGAGGGCAAAAACTGGTTTTCCCCAGGGTTGTGTGAGCCCTGCTGGTCCCAGGGGATTTCTCTCCAGGAGATGGAAACCTGTCTGTCAGGTTTCTGATCTGCCTCTACATCCCCGGCACCTCCATCCATCCATCCATCCATCCATCCATCCATCCCTGCATCCATCCATCCATCCCTCCATCAATCCATCCATCCATCCATCCCTTCATCCATCCATCCACCCCTCCCTCCATCCATCCATCCACCCCTCCCT